ACTACAGATGAGGTTTTCCTAGCTCTATATTTGCGATTGCTTTTTTGTTAAATTTTTTTTTCGTATTTTTTTTAGTGTGAAGTATTAGTGTGTCTGATGATTTGATTGTTGATGACGATTGATGAGTAATAATTTCAAGTGTTTTTCAACCTCTGTCAATTTCCAGAAGCCCAAACGGTGGACACCTGCCGCGTGCATACGAATCAAATATCAAACTCTCTAAGTGTTATACTGCCAATTGAATGAACTGTTAACTCATACAAGTCTCACATTCATTGCACAAAAATGCTTGAAAAATAATATTTTCCATCGACGTATTTTATTTTTCCATTCATTTGTAACATTTAATAGTTACACCTAGAGTTACACATAGTTGAACAGTGTCCTCTCACCTAAATTGGTTTCCGTATGTAATTAGTTTATTTGATCCATCCAAAGAGACCTCTTCAACCGAGACATGATTGGAGTTGCCAGCGCCTTTGATGATTGGTTTTTTTGTGTATGGTGGATCATACTTGGTTCGGTTGGTTTTTCTTCTAGGTGGATAGTTCAAGTATCATGTTTTTTTTTACATTTTTATATGATCGCAACCGGGAGATAGAGATTATTGTATGGATCATCAAAGCACATGAAATTTGACGTAGAAAGCATTCGTAAAAGAAATGACAAAAAAGAGAAAGACGAAAAAAAAATTCATTATTATATTTTCCTAGTTGAATGAAATGTATGATGTGACTTTTCTACCCAATTATTGTCTATAATGATGAGGTTCACTAGAAGCTATAACACAAACTATATATATACACATGCAAATATAGATTTCAATATGACAGAGAGTATTAGCTCTGGTTGGTAATATGGAAAAAGCTATCTACATTTTTTCTTCTACGTTTCAACTATATTCTAGCGGGGGAAAAATTCGTACACAGCATGCTCAACATAGATTCAATTCAATTATGTGGTTCATATGCTCTTTTCTCGCTACGATCCAATAACAGCATACAAATGAAAGCCAACCATTCAATGTAGAATTCAAAGGAAATAGAATTTGCATGAAATGCAATTAAATCAAAAAATTGTGCAAGTTTTATTTTTTTGCCATTCTCTGGTAGAGAGTATGTAATTAGTTTTGCATGTGCTGTGTATGATTTTTTTCTCCCCGTCGTTTTTCAAAAGGTATAATTAAATTACGCAAGCTTTTTATTAACGAAGTTTATAGAATGTCCAAAATAGAATGTCAAAATAGATTGTTCTAATCTTCTACCAAAACGATTTTTAAAAAAACCGTTTAATTTAATCAACAATTTGATTTAGCAATACTTTCATTTCTAGACATGTTGAATTGTATTTCTCAGAATGCATTTCGATAAGATGTGATGCATCATCACTATAACAATTTTTGAGGCGGTAACTATCGAAAAACAAAAAAGTAAGCAAGCAAAACCCATGCAAAACGCTACAGATCGCGAATGAGAGAAAGGGGAAGAAGAAAATAGACAAATGTACAAACAAACGAAAAGTGGCAACAAGATGTGCTTGGGCACAATTGTTTTAAAATGAATGTTAGTTTTCTGCTGCTAAATGTTGTTTTATTGTTTGCTAGTTGTTCCAAAACTTGTTAACACTCTGAAAATGTGTATATTTCGCGGGAAAAAAAAAACCATAGACCAAAACGTAGACCGAGGCAACGAAACGCTTTTGAACAAAAACCACCGGAAAATGAGAAACGGAATTCTGTGATGACGAGGAGGAAAAACCTCGATCGAAACGAGTTAAATTAGATGAAAAACTGTTTAGTGTATTCCACCAATAGCGTAGAGCGAAAACACACTGATGCTGTGTGCTGTTGTTGCCTTTCAGCACAACCACTAAAGTCGCATAATTAAAATGGTTCGTTTTTTTCGTTGTTCCTCTTTCGTTTGACTGTGTCGCTGTGCATTGCTGCAAAAGGGGATCATATCCCCTTCATCGTAGCTACTCGGTTGTTATTGTTCGTAATGATGATGATACACTCTCACGCTAGTTCTGTGGGCACGTTTATTTTTACATTTTCTCTAGCTGACTGAATTAACCGAATTGAGCTTATGCTCTGTTTTGTTCGACACTATCATCACCATAGCTACAACAACTCCATCCAACCATTTAATTAATATCTCGTTTTTATTTAATTTTCGACGCAATGTTTTTTAGATCCGCATTGTCGTGCCCATCTACATATATATATTTCGCATGCTGAATGTATTCTTTTTTGGTCTTTATGTTCTCTGCTAACGACAAGGCTGTGTAAGTTTTACTCTTTTTTTTCTTCTTCGAAAAACCCAATACGTTGTGTTTTTGGTACACACATTGAAAATCTTCTCGTGATACCGCCTTTATTCTTGAATCAATTTGCATACCGAATGCTGCACTGGAATCGTAACGTATTGACCAAATCTGCGATAGCTCAAGCTAACTAAATCTCCACACAAACAGTTTAATTAATTCTAATTTTGAATCTGCGGCTTTGTCCGTTATTTTTTTTTTCTGGTTTCTACCCCTCGTTTCGCTGGTTTTCTGAACTATAAATCTACTCCGTGCATATGAATACAAAAGTTTGAATCGAATCGTAGTAACAGCACCACGATGGCAGATTGTTATTTCATTGAATATATGCTAGCATTCTCTGCTGCTAATGTCGTTTTCAAAAGTTTTCCATACTACAGTCTGTATATTTATGTGGCCCATCCGGATGAGGATACATCCATTAGGAAGTGTGTAGAAGAAACTATTTGCCAAAATGAAGTGATTATAAAAGCTTGTATGGTTAAAACGAATGGCTGTATCCGCTCTTTGAAATAACAAATCATCTTTCACAAACAAGCGAACGATGCACATTTTCACTGCTAATCTCATCGTTTGGAGAGTCGATGGTTTTGGTGTATATGGCGAAGTTCGCTCCATTTCAGCAGCGCCATGAAATCGATGAATATCGGATATTATTTTGGGTTATAAAATTATTGTTTTAATGTTTCCACCGCTCGAACCAAAATTATTCAAGTTGGTTAAATGCAAAGCCGGCTTTGCACGTGGACGATGATACACACAGACTTTGGATTAAATACATTGTGTAGTGGAAAAAAAATTTATCAGCTCATCTTTAGTTTTTATGTGATTTTAATTGGCCACCCTAAAACCAACAGCGGCTATTCCAATCGATGCGCAGCCCATTTAATGCGCTTTACTTGTACGAACACATGTTCGCAAACAAAATGCAAATCCTCTCTGTTCTTGTTTGCCCAGAATGTACTACTGTAATTATTTTATTTACGCGCAGCCGCCTAATTATACATTATATTTAGCAGTTTGTTAAAACATTTTGCTGAAAATGGCAAAATACTTAAATATTTAAGCCTAATGCAACATTTAAAGTGAATAGCATGAATGTGCAGACGAAATTTAAGTAAGCAGTGAAACACTGTACACTTACTGGTTAGGCACATTTACTGCCGTTGAAATCGTGTTATTTATGTGCAGCCATTCCTTGTATCCAAGCCATCTAATGTGGCTGAATCTCTGGAGGAATTTCTCTGTATTTCTTTATCCGAAAAATCTTTTGCATTTGGTCATTTTGAATTTTGCAAATCTCGAATGAGTTCGTAGCAAATACCACTCATTTTGAATCCAAACAAAGCGGAAAATCCAATAGAACATAGTGAATTGCAGTTGATTTATCCGTTCTTTTCTTGTCTTTTGTGGATTCACAATCTTTTGTATTACGTTTACGCATTTTGCATTTTGCATGTGCTAACACATCATTTTTGCTATGTTGTGCAAACGTTGAACAAACAAAATAGATTTTAATTTATTTTTCGTTGAGTAGATTCGCACAACAAGATGCGCCCCTTGAAACGCACTCTCCCTATCTCTCTAGCTTTCTCGGCTCATGGAGAGGATATTTCATGCGTCGTATAAATAATGATACGCTCACATTCACACGAATCATTTGTGCAAATCTCTCGTTTGCCTACATGAGAGTGAGAGAAAGCAAAAGCGAATCTTCCGATGGTGTCTATATCGCTTCGAGTCATGGCAAACATAGCCACAAATGGGAAATTTATGTACGCACAAGTATAAACATTAATGCAAACAGAAATACATTGAACCGGAGCAGTGTTTAAGTGTGAGAGGACGAGCACACAAGAGGAATGAAGAGAATGAGCAAATGCGGCACGTTCGATATTTGAAAAAATCGCTTTGTTTTCGCAGGTCAAACAAACAGAACACCAATTGAATGCTGTGGTCGAATAACATTTTCGGCCCGGCATTTTCGGATTTTTGAGTGGGAATTTATGTAACGAAATTAATGATGAACACCGTGCTTAGACAAAAGCGCTCAGTTTACATGCAAACTTCACGAGTGTTTTTCCAAGTATTCAACAATAGATATATATACATATGTATTTGCGATATTTGCACTTCCTAATGGCACTGCGTAGGGCTAACCATTCCTCTCTTTTTCGCCTCGCTTATGTTAAATCCCATTCCAATGCGAAGCTGTCGGGCCTGGGCTACTTTACTTATTTGAGTTGCTGTCTGATACCGCTCTCATCTGCGCTGGTGTGTGCTTTCTCTACCCACATTTCAACCGAAATCCTCGGAATATGGTCATTGGATTTTGCATTACATTGCATTGCAATGAAGATAATTACAAGTAAGCTTTCATTCTTTGCTGTTGGCACTGCCAATTTGGCACCAAGGAATTGCAGTTTTTTGTTTTCAATTTAAATGGGCAAACTGCTTTGCACACATCGATATTAGAAATATTTCGTTGGCACCTCTACTCATAAATTTGTTCAGATATTCATTTATTTTTATAAAATCATGAATAGAATTCCATTGTTGGAGCCAAAACGAGAAATTGTTCTAGTTCAATAATAAATGCTTCAGGAGCCATACCAATAGAATATTTATTATTGTTTGTGTATGATAGATTTAATAAATGTTCATGCTTGATTAATACTAAACTAAGAAAAAAGTCTGAAATTCAATCACAAATTGTAAAAATAGTTTCAGTTGAATTGGATGGTGTGGAGATGCTTTCGGTGTGTAAATGTTGATATTTTGTAGTTAATCCTGGGATTTGTGCAGTTTTTGCGATTGCTAAAATTTGTTTGTAATTTCATCGTAAGCAATCAATGAAATGTATTCAATTTCCTACGATATTCTCGAAACGAAGAATCGAACTAAATCGATGTTCGATAATGTGATTTAGTATTCACATTCTGATGAATCTGTTTTTAATTAAAGTTGAAACCTTTATTTTTGATTTCAATGAAGATACAAATATTTGTGTTGGTTTCTATTCCAAAAAGAGAAATAATTGGCATGCATTTCATCTAAATCGTTCATTTTTGCTGTCTACGGAGTAAACTAAACTCCAAACAATTGTCTATTTCATTTTGAAAATTTAATTTTTTTCGATAAAGCAAAGGCAAAATTACAGAAATATTGCGCTTCCAATCAGTTCGAATTTATTTTTTCCAACAAAACATAAATCAATGATCATCCTCTAAATCAATGAAAGTTGATGATTCACTGTCGAATCTCAAAATACAACTAAGCAAATGCAGACTTCACGGTTCATCTAAATATCCATTTGATTTTTTCGAAAACATTTAAAATAGTAGAATGGAAAATGCGACAAAATAATTTTTCACTTCAGCTAATTTGAACGTCTATGAAAACGGGATCGAGAAAAGAAAATAATGTGAATGACAAAAAAAACTGAATACAATAACAAACAAGACCGCAGATCGTCGCTTCGCTCCTCTCTGCGTTCTTTATGCGTTTGTTAAAATTGAATTTTTAAATTAATTTGATGTTCCCATCAAATTAGTTATCGAAGCACTACATGGAATGTAGTTTCAATCGAAGCATACATTTCTTTGTTTTATGAAAATCACTTGAATTAATATCAAGTATGTAGTATGTTCGATAAAATTAAATATATAAGAGAAACATGGAAAAATTGACGGCCCGAGAAGAAAAACCTTTCCTACAAAACCTGTGCACAGAACACAAACACAGAAATTTTTTAGTCAAAAGGCGAACAGCAAATTTGCGAGCGCAAAAACCTAATATATTTACAGCGAGCGCAAAAGCATAAGAGGCCTACTTATACGGAGTTTGCATGCTAGTAGGCTTGTTATACTTTTGCGCTCGCTGTAAATATATTAGGTTTTTGCGCTCGCAAATTTGCTGTTCGCCTTTTGACTAAAAAATTTCTGTGTTTGTGTTCTGCGCACAGGTTTTGTAGGAAAGGTTTTTCTTCTCAGGCCGTCAATTTAGTTATTAATAATATTGATATTATAAATAATTATAAATCAATTAATTGAATAAATTATAGTTCTATTTATTATATTGTAATCTTTAATAGTGGGTTTTAGGTACGTTCAATGTGAACGTTCACATTTGGGAATTAAAATAATATGATTTTTTTTTGAGTTATCTCAAATAGGAATTACATGAACATTATTACATTTTTGTAATTAGGCGTAATTGCTTCATTTCAAATTGGAACTTTGGATAGAAAAAAGAATTAATTTTCGGTCCAAAAAATCGGCCTAAAGAGTCTTAAAGTTTTCTCTTGAAAAAAAAAAAAAAACAATAACAATAGCCTATATTCCATGTAGTGCTAAAAACAAATGTGTTACCTTTTGGTCAAAAACAAATGTGTACTGATTTTCTTTTTGATCGAAAGATGTACAAAAATGGACTAAAAAATGATGTGGTGGAAATATTGTCATTTTTCGGTATGGTAATGATTGCACTAACCTTAGACACAGTGTGAAGTTACGATGGACAACCACTGATCGGTAGCACAAAGCCATTAGCGTGAATGTTACGAAAACGAATCCAACGACCGACATTAAGACACCGACCAGAAACATTGTATTCGAACCATGATAGTTTTCTTTAAAACAAAAAACCAAGTAATTTTTTCTTTATACATCACGTTCATTTTTTTCTTCATCCCATTGATTTAAGTAAATGGTTTTTTTATGTGTTGAAATAAAATGATTGCAAATTGTAAGTATTGTATGCGTTCAGTGGAACGTCATAGCATCGACCAAATGAACAGAGATCTAATTATGCATTTTTCCACTGATAGAATGAGAATGAATTCAAATGTTATTTTCTCTCGACGTTCAACTGAAGGCTACATGCTAATTTCATTAGCTGACATTTCAATTTAGAACTTGAAACATTTTCTTTCATCAAAAAAGTATTCATTTTTTGCTGTTCTTGTTTCGAACATTTTCAGTACTAATTATCCCCATTTTTTCTTCTCAAATAATTGCCAAGATTCATTCATTAATTTCATTTTTTTTCGTTTAATTTCAATATGTTCCATGACAATGGTAATCGCTTTTTAAGAACAGTGTTTTTTGAGACATAAAATCATTTTTTGTTGATCTGATGTAAGAGTGCAGGATACTACTGAAAATTATAAACATGTGTCCAATTCTACCAGCATTTGATCACTAAACGTTTTTAATATTATTTTGAAATGTTTGCTGTAGAATGTCTAAAAATATATATAAATATTGTGAATGAATGTATGATTCAGATGGATATGGAATGTAATAATTTGTAATATTTAGATGTATGAAATGTTGTGTTGAATGTAAGTGGCTTGGTATTGGTTTTTCTTGTTTATGATATTTATTCATCTCAGGGATTATTATGTAGGTGGGACGAGAGACTGGTTCCCGTGAAATTAGAAAGTATAATTAAAAATGCATGACGTTTAGTGTACTGTCATTTTTTTGTTGTATTTTTTTTGCTTGACCGCAACACACCATTAGAAAAGAAGTTCGTGCACTGATACGACAACTGAGGGGAATAACAAGAGATGAAACAGAACAGGCAAATAAATGAGCACCGAGTATGGGCATTTCGTTCCAATACACTGTACCTATGCGACAATGCGTTTCGAACAAATGAGGTGAAGGGTAAGACATAGTCGTACTTTTGTAAGTCTTTGCTTGATATTTTCTGTCTTTTTTCTCCTTTAATCTGCCGCATTAGGACATTGTTGCTGTTCATATATCCACTTGTACAATTGAAAATCTGCTGTGTGCGTATGAACCACACACGACTCAATGAAAAAAACTACGCTACAAATATACCGCGTGTATTCCCTTCGCACGCTACGTTTATACCATTTTCACGCTTACGCTTATTTTATACCTCGTTTAATACAGAGTCGAAGGTATATTTAAGGCATATTTTTAGCGTGAACCGCATGCAAAGCATACGGATAGAATACGCTAAGTCAAATTATTCTATCCGTATGCTTTGCATGCGGTTCACGCTAAAAATATGCCTTAAATATACCTTCGACTCTGTATTAAACGAGGTATAAAATAAGCGTAAGCGTGAAAATGG